AAACGTTTGGATGAAAGGATGTGGTGGCAAATCTTTGCTACTGCTTTAGATTTCAGACGTCATATCGACAAATGAAGTATTAGTTAGGAAACGCACTCAAATTAACCAACGATCTATATGTTGCCATATTGACTTACCATCAATTTTTACTGCAGCGTTATCTTTGCTTTTTATAGTCTTTCCCTCCGAGTTGACATACCAGAATTCGAATCTAAAGCCACAGAAAAATGAAAAAGGAAACATTGTGGGTCGTGTGACATAACCACAGCCAAAATATAATCAAGGTGAAGACCAAGACTCAAGAAGAACGTTCTTAAGAGCACCCACTCGTCTCGTATATTTACAGTAAAAAACATTTTTTTAACGTAGCTGCCATAACTAATGATAAATTGTAAGACTTCCAGAGCCCACAGCTGCCTGGACAGATTTCACAGAAATCGAGTACACGGGTTTTTACCTCTTCTGTAGCATTTCTTCATCTGAACTAGAGGACAAGCACGTCCAAGGCTTCTGCATCACCCTGGCACTGTCATCGAAGGAACCTTCCTTCACAGAGCTCAATCCGACTGAGAAGCTGTCCCTTAATCCCTGATAGGAATCGTCGGACTCTAGCATAACGCTCTGCAGAACGTCACGCCCTCGTCTTGACTCTACGGAACATTCCTGGTGTGCTGTGATTGCGTGTTTCTCCCGTGTCCCGCACTTCTTCTTTCGTGGTGACGAGCCTTGCCGTTCACTCGCACTCACGGGTGTGCCACTGCCACAACCATCGGCATTCAGCAACAGCTGTGCTTTCTCAATTCCTGCTGGAGTGAGGAAGTATCTGCAGACGAATCGGGACAACAAGTGAGAAGGCAACTTTGTATACATGGTTTTCTCTTTCAATTTTATAACAGAACTTAAATCTACTTATATAAATCAGTAAATATAGTACTCCGTGTCCCTCATTGAACAGGAGATACTATATAATGTGAATATTTAAACTGACTCAACCCTTTATTTGGTGAGTTTGGATTTTTATCTGAATGCAGCCACACACGCTTTTAAAATTCAAATTGCTTTACCGTTCAAGCATCCGATCTGCAGGCATGTCAAATTCACAACCCACGTGACAGACAGCGCATCTTTAGAGAGTCACTCAGTCGTCCTTACCCAATTTTTAGCTGTGGCCCACATACTGGTCATTGGGCTAGCTTGGCAACCCTTACATTAAAATCGTTCTAATAAGAAACTAATAAATAGTTTACGGTGACGATTACGATTATTAGATTACAGCAGGACACAATCACTGGAGACCCCAGTCGATCAAGCTGAGGGTCGCAACTCACGGATTAAATAACTAGAGGCTTAACCTGGCAGGGCTTCCTTGCTTAATGACAAGCAACTTCTTGGTGAGCGTTGACATGGATGACCAAGCGGTGTAGTACTGACCAGGCTCTTTCTACGCGAACATAGAAAAAAGATTCAAGTTTAGCACCAAGTGTCTTTTATTATAGCATCATCAGAATGTAGATATATATA